ATTCAAACCCAGGTCTTCTGGTTTACACCCAGCTGCTCTGACCACTAAGCTACCAAGACAACCAATCCTTTGAACAGTTTTCTTAAGTGTAATTATCGCTTCTTGCATATACATGTCCTATATAAACATATATACAATTTATATATGTATAACACAAAGTTATATAACATGAATATGTCAGAAATATTTTCATTGTTCTGATACAAAATTATTAACTAACAAATTCTGTGCCAAGATTTGATGTCAAGTTCAGAGATATACATGAATTCCATCAGCGATACATTTTGTGGTCTCTTGGTTGTTATGAAATTGTTATTAATAAATTGATGCATACTTCCTACATTTTGGGTCCAAGAAATATTCCGCAAGTTATTACAATACAGAAGCAATCTAGTAAGATAATTTGGATGCCTTTTCAACAAGAACTGACAATACTAAAGGAAATTTCCAGATGTCAAAAAAATTACCTGATTCACAAATAAATCCTCCTCTTGCTCCACAATGCAGATTCACCCCTGAAAGATTAACAAATCTATTCTACTATGGCTGTTACACTTGTGATTTAGAATTTTAGTGAACAACTAGTTTTGCTAAAACTATAAATGGTCAACATACCTTATTTTTCATGTCTACAGTATTCCTTAAGAACTTAGGAAATAAACCATTCTGGGCTTGAAATACAACCATTCTAATAATTCAATGTTTTTAAATAATGTCAAGAAGTAATGCCAAATAGAAGTCCAAATTTTCTGAGAAAACACAAGTCTTGTGATTATGATACCCAGTGATAAAGATAGTTTGCCTTTAGTACTGTCGACTGGAAGATTAAAACAATTAAAAAATTTAAAATCTTCAAAAAACATGTTTAATGAAACCTCCCACTCGGCAATCAGAGATAAACGACCACAATGTTCCAGTGTCCTTTATTTTTCTTTCATTAATGTTGCAGTTAGTTTTATAACGATTAATTCACAGACATCCAATTCTATGAGTTCTACATTCACAAATGAAATCATTACTACACACAGTAAAACTTGTCTCAATGTGGAACATATATAATGCAGAAATATGTTCAATGTGAAGGTAGACCATGGTCCTAATAAACATGTATTCCACAGCATTATTGAGTCTATCTGGAAAGAGCCGCAACTCTGTCATGGTGGCTGATATTTCAGTCAAAAGATCACTTTAGATTCTGCATTGAGCAAGTTTTACTGAACACTAAACCAAATTATGAAGAATGCAAATTTCATTGCAGACTCCCAAATAACGAAATTCTCATCATTTATATTTAGATGAACATGTGTTCTACATTTTAGAACATGCATTGACTCCCAATTTTTAAAAGAAAACACAATAAAATATTCAATTTTATAAAAACATAATGTGTCCACTGTATATTTACTGTTTACCATGCTTTACGGAGTGTTTGTTTCATCTGCACACAACCATCATATATCTTTTCTGAATTTGTATTGATAAAAGAATCTCTTCTGCTGACAAAAGTCCATGTAACGAAATTTTTTAAAGGTGTCTGTTACTTTAGAAATCCTTGTAAACTCAGTATGGTGATGCATTAAGAGATGTGATATGCGGCAGTGTTCTTTGGGAAGTGAGCCTAGCCTAGTTGAATTACATAGGACTGGATTTACCTACAAGATATTTAGGTATCCCGCCCCCGAGAAGAGAGAAAAAGAAAAAAAAAAAAAAAGAAAAAAGAAATCAAAAAAATATTGTAAAATATGTTTATACCTTCAAAATAATTTTTAGTAAAAGTCTACTATACAAAAAAGTTGGAATTTAAAAATAAAAATAATTTTTTTTATAAATATTTAATTAGCATTTTTTCCCTTTTTTGTCTTCTGGAGGCTTTTTCCAGCTTCTGAGGATGCTGACTTTGGCTATCCAGGTCGGGTACCCACTATGTCCCTCATGGGGATACATATTAACCTTTATACTAGACACTGACATACTTGCTGGCTCCTCTGTGGTCAGCAGACTTACAAGGCCTTCTGTGAAACACACATACATGAAAGACAATGGACAAACAATTTAAAAAAATGATAAAATATACACACTACTTCTAAGCAATCCTAGTTCCTTCAACACACCTCTTTCTCTTTCATATAATCATACACTGACCACCAATTGTAATATAACTTATAATTATAACAATTTGCACCAATTGGGATATATTTTAATTGAGTAACAAGTAAAAAACATTACAATAGTAATTATGTAAAGGTAACACAATACCATTATCTATACACAATCTACCACTTCTCTCTTAAACTACTATTACACCTAAATATTTAAAAACTATCTATCTCATAATATTAACCATTCTTTTAATAGTTCTTAATTTTACATTATCAGATTTATCACACACACACTTAAATGCTACTATCATATAATTATTTAATAATTAAATCACTTACTCTTATTTACTTATACTTTATTCATGCACAGCCAATTGAATAATTTATCACAGCCTTTTTCTCTGATTAAAGATGGATGAGTGATAAATGGATAATATGTAATATTAAGTGTGACTAAAATGTGTAAACCTGTATGAGCTTATGTAATCTTTTTTATTTCAGGCTTTGAGCCTGCAAGCTGAAATAAATAAACTTTAAAAATGAATCAGAATTTGAAACTCGAAGTTCTATCCTTCCTATTCTATTATTTTGGATATATCCTTGCATTTGCTGTTTATCTTTACTTGCCTAATTTTACCTATGTCAGTTTAATTTTGTTAATTTCTGTCAATCATTGAAACAAATCGGAAATTACTTATCAATCTTCATAATGATAAATATGAAGAATTGACTATAAATGCACTCGCACATTCATTCTTTGTAACTGTGAGCAGGGGCACCTAAGAGAAATCAAGAGGCCTGGTGCAGTAGATTCATGGGGGTCCATCATTTCAAATAAAAGCTCCCTTCCCCCACACTCAAACAGAATGAATTCCTCCTTACAACAGAAATAATTTATAGTGGCTAATTTGAATTAGAAGTAAATACATTTTTTATAGGTTTTAAATGAAAATAATATTATTAATATTTTTATTTTGGGGTCTCAATTTAACCAGAACCTGGGGCAAGTTGCTTGAACTGTCTTCGGAATGCCCCACCCTGTAAGTATTGTTATATACACACCATGTAAAACAAGAAATGACAAAACTGTTTTTCTCAAATATTCCATCACAAGTTATTCATATTATTGCCTCAGAAAGATCACTTACCTCAATTTACATTTAAACTCTTCATTCTTTCCTCAATCGTGTATGATGTTTTGTGCAATATATTCCAGATTTAGTCACCTTTGACTACCATATAGTTATGAAGCCAAACAAAAAAAAATAATCATGTAACTTATGTTTTTACTCACAGTTACTTCAGAACTATTGTGTTACCAACATCAATGTCATCCTCATTACATCTTTTATTAAAATCATTTACAATTACCACTGAACATATAGGATGATGAAATCTTGCACCGAACTAAACAGCTATAACATTTGGAACAAAAAAACATTTCAAGCAAACACACTGAATTTTGTGATTTTCAGATGTCAGGCATCTTTTTATCCTATTTACTCTTGATAGTGTGAGTGAGCAATCAATAACATTAATTAACATCTTTCTTACTTTATATGTAGAGATACGTCAATCTCCATAATTGAGAAATTTTACTTCCTCACCACAATCGTCAGCCTTGAAAACAGATATATAATTTTTGAGATATGCTTGTTAACAGTGTTTCACATAAATAAAACTAAAAGATAATGCCATAAGGCTATCTACATCAAATGAATTTCAACATTGTTATAACAATGCAATATCATTCCTCATGAGAAATTATGATTCCACATTTAATCCCTTTCTTTGCGCCATTTCTCTTTTTCTCTTCAACCAATGAATGTTTTCAAGGCTATGGAACTGGCTCAAAATGCAGAAAAGGCTAGATTTGATAATAGAACAGCAAACAACATTCAATGGTGTTTATCTTGGCGATGCCTTATAACAACAAAAAGACCAATATATTCATCAACATCACTGTGATCCAATCTGCACATGAAATAAATATTACCATAATATATAACCTAATCAGAGTACCATAATAGAATTTATGTATTATATATTTGTATAATATAATTATACAAATATATATTAAAAAACAAATTTCTCCTGAAATATTAATCACATAATGGATACACGTTTAAGAAAAATCAGAAGTTCAGGTCAACTGCTTTGTACGAGATTCATGAGGATATTTCACTGAACTATTTTCAAAGGTTTTATTTGAAGGGGAAAAAAATAAATAAATAAAAAAATTTTAAAAAAAGAAAGAAACTCTCGAAGAGAAAATTAACATTTGGTTCTGAATACTACCTACAAAATATTTACTATCACTGATATATCAGTATGAATCAGTATTATATCTTCACACAGACCTTGAAGAAAAATACAAGTTTAAATTGAATATGGAAAGAAAATGGCTCAACGCAAATACAGCATGATTTTTTTTTTTTTTTATGTTAAAGGAAACGCTTGCCCAAAGTTCTCTTCATCCAGCGTTTTCTACAGAATCTTTTACATCAAACTAAAGGTCAAATATATTTGTATCAAACCAACGAATGGATGGGAAGAATGACAGAGGATATAAAAAAGTAATATAAATACTAGGATGAGAAATGTACATCCAAGAATTCACTCACACACAATATATATTACTTAGTAAATAACTTCCTAGAACCTCTAGAAATGATTTGCGGTATGCTTAATGTACGAGAATAGATTACTTACCTTCAACATTTGTTCTCCGGCATTGGTGAGTTGCATGTATTATGTACAAATTAAAAAGTTAAAGAAAGTTTCATTAAATTTCATTATTAAAAAAGTGTCTGTCAAGTTGTCTATCAAGATGAGAGGATTGAGCGGTTAGGAAAGGAAAAATCATGACAGAACAGTTAGGATATAATAATTCAAAGCCAATATATACATTGTATCAATTGCATTCCTTTATAAAAATGTACAGATACAGTGTACAATGAAATGTACCAGCTACCGGGTAAGTAAAATAAGCAACAAAAAATGCTTCTTTAAAGCTTGCGTAGCACACGTTTTATAACGAACTGTTCTATGTTTACACTTATCATATCAAGGACATTTCCATGGCACCTAGGCATACTTGCAGTAATCACTGCGCATTTAAGAGAGTTTTAGACACAACCATGAAAAGCATTCACAGCATGAAAATAGCAGAATCATACAGTTTCAAGCCATTTTACAAAGTTTAAAAAACTGGGGAACTCACACAAATGCATATTGAAGCATTTTGAATATACATTTCATTTCTCAAAACACTGTTCTTTAAAAGATCATAATCACATTCTACATAGACATATACTTTACCCTAACTGTTAATAAAAAATATAACTATGATTGACAATGAACATAAAATCATGTTTAAATGCAGCTCTGTCTTGGTAACAGAGGAATAATCTACCTGGAAGATATTTTATCAATACAAGTGATGAATCACTCCTCATATCGCCAGAACATCAAATAATATCAAAATAAGTTGTCCTCTGGACTTTGTACCTTTCATTAACTCAGCTATGAGTAGATGTTAGAATCCTAAACAGTATACTGTTATGTACTCAGAACGTAACAGCTAGTTTAAATTTTGGTTGTTGTCACCCCATGGCGTGAGCAAATATAACAACTCTTTATCTTGAAACAAATATGTAGTTGACCCTTTTGCTCACCTTTACTTAGTAGCCTCTGGGGGACAATCAGGTTGATTAGATGGATGGGCAGCTCGGAAGGCTGGATGATTCTCCAGCTCCCTATCGATTCGCAAAATAGTTGGGAACGGACGCAGGTCAACGTGAAATCTGGAAGATAGGGTTCCAATGGTTAGCAAGTGCATAAATCAAGTAGCACAAAAACAGAAAGAAAGCAATCAGATACTATGGTACTTAAGATAGAGCAGAAAGAGGTCCACCTGATTTTAAGAGTTAAAACATCCGTACAATGCACTAACAATGACACTGAAGTGCTGAAAAGTTAAGATACTACACACAATAAGAGTGAAACTACATAAACTTCATAAATTTAGGAAACAAAATAAGTTAATTACTTCATAAATGAATAGTACAGATATACATGGAAATGAATGGGTATGTATGGAAACTGGGAAAAGAAATGTATTGTATGTTGCACTTATTACTACCTACAATACTCGGATTTAAACTTAACTGCCCCTGACATAAATCAGCTGTTGCGGCGTCATCCAATCGGGAGGTTGAACATCACCATAGTGACATCACTGTAGTGATGTGTAAGCTCTAGAATGGATGACACGGAAACAGCTGACAACCTGCCATGGGCAGGTGTAAATAAATGGAAGTATAACAAGAACTAATAATTTCATTTTCTTTAAGAAACAGAAAAATGACTCTATTCAATTTCTTCTTTTAATATGTGATTCTTCAGAATCAAAAAATTGTAACATCACCATAGACAAAAATAACTAATAATAAATACATAACAAATCTGAAAATTTTATATAGACACTTAAATGCACAAGAATAAAGGAATGATGATTTTATAAAGCGAGGGTAAAACATATTTTGTAACCGAGTATTATAAAACATATGTACTCGAGGAATTATATTTAGATAAGGAAATTTTTTTAAAAAGCTTTTTATATTACAAGAAAATACATTACCTTCGAGCATTGAACACTTGTGGAATCAGGCAGCAATCAGCAATGGATATTTCATCTCCCACACAATACTTTCCAGCAGATGTGGACAGTAACTTTTCAACAGCTGTTGAAAAATGTTAAAAATTAGTAAATTCATGGCAATCAATGGTCTTATTTATTTTAAGTAAACTACACAACCTCATGTTTCTGGCAAAGGTACGAAACCCAATTTTCTACACTCATTCTAAGATGGTAGGTAATAATACACAAAAGTCTCTCTCTCTCTCTCTCTCTCTCTCTCTCTCTCTCTTCAACTCCCTCCACTAAAAATATAATCTTTTTCATATGCTTCCTTTTAATTACACTAAATAGATGAGAATATATTCATACAAAACTGTATAAACACACCTGAGAACATTTTTTTTTGTTGAACTCATTTATATTTTGTTAAACTTTTTTATATGTTAAATGCATGGAACAATATTTTTCTATCCTATACACTATATTAATGTTACAAGAAACCCAGTTGCCCATCATACACAAAACTTTATAATACTTTCATAAAATTAAAAAATTCAAATATAACACATTAATTGTAAAAATAAATTTTGCTGCATCATTGTTATGCAAAAGACTTTTGTTGTTTGTGAGAAAGCATAAGGTAGAGTGATCAGGAAAAGACTGGCAAATTCTCATAGAACAGAATATAGATAAAAACACTTTACAAGCAATGAAGTGCTTATAAGCACAATACAAAAAGTCAAAAATCAAGATTCTAAAAATGAACAGGGACATTACACAAGAAATGCCAATGAATGATAAATGACTACCAGGGCTGCACATTATCACTCCTGCCATTTAATATTTATCTCAATCAAATGAGATGTAAAAGAGAAACAGGATGGAATAATTCTGAAACATAAAAGACCAATAAAGATGATACTGTGTGCAGATGATGATGTGATTTTGGCAATAACAGAAAATAAGCTCCAAAGAGCAGCTTTTAAATTATTTAAGACTGCAGAAGAATGTGTATTGAGAAAATCCCCAACAAGAAAAAAGTTATGGGAATACTAGGTAATGACATGGATGTCAAGAACGATGTCATGAACCTGCAAACGACTGTTCAAAAAATTACAAATACTACCACTCCCATGCATGTACATATTTGAAATATTAATCTTCACAAAGAAGACACTTCTGGAAAACAAGGACTCTGTTACTCTGAACACAGAAGTTTATAACTATGATACTAGACAAAAAAGAAATCAGCATGTTCCACACAGTGAAACTTCACTCTTTCAAAAAAGTACCCTTATAGAAGGCATTACACTATATAATAAACTTCCGAGCAAACTTAAAAGCTTAAACTTGATACACACATTTAAAAATAAACTGAAAGCTTTCCTGTTAAACCATACATTCTACAGTACAAAAGAATACACAGATCATAAACACATATCTACGTCAATATAAACTAGTACTAATAATTTTCTGTTGCATGTTTTCCAAGCCCCCTAGACTGGTTGTTGGATATAAAGGATGGACCCAGCCTAGGCACGAATCTATGAAGACTTTTTCGCCTCTTTTTTTCCTTTCTTTCTTTCTTTCTTTTTTTTTCTTTATTATTATTATTATTATTATTATTATTATTATTATTATTATTATTATTATTGATTTTTAACTTAAGTCTTCTTACATTACCATCTATAAAATTAATTATCATTCCATGATATTGAATTTAATATGAGAATTTTAATTTTAATGCATGTATTGTATGATTATAAACATATCCTGACTAGTCATACATGGCGTATGCTGTATTTATGTGACAAATATATTATTATTATTGTTGTTGTTGTTGTTGTTGTTATTGTTGTTATTATTGTTGTTATTATTATTGTTGTTATTATTATTGTTGTTATTATTATTGTTGTTGTTATTATTATTGTTGTTATTATTACTATTATTATTATTATTATTAATGGACAGAAGACAAAGTGGTAATAGATTTGTAACAAGAAACAAATTTCACATGTTTGGGCAAAAGATTGCCATTGGAAAATGTAGAATTCCAAGTGAAATAAGCTGGGTACAATAAAATTAATTGATGAATCAAGACTTTCAAAAATATGATTTCTGATACAAAAATTAGTCTACACAATTCTGTATCAAAGCCAACCATGCTGTATGGTGGAAAAACATTCCATAATTTCAACTAATTCTTGGGATTTAAATATTGAACATTTTAAAATTGTTCATTTTCATAATGTAATTTGTTTAAAAAAAAAATTTAAGTTATGTAGCTCCTGAACTCACAAAATTCTTGTTATTAATGTTTTTTGTTTTCCAGAGGACTACTAATTGAAAGCCATAATACTCAAGATAAGTCAGAAATTGTAGACTATATAGAGAGAATACAAAACAAAAGCAACAAGGTAGTAATATATACCGAAATTAAATACAGGGTAATAAACAAAATCCATCTCATTTACAGACACAATAGATAAATGAATTTTGGAAGGTTAATAAAAGAATTCCAAAGCTCATTCTTCTCATTATTTCTTCTATAATTTTGTCCACACCATTCACAAAAAAGCTACCCCAAAAGATCAAAGGGTTGCCTCTTTTCATGGCAGAGTCAAAAAGCTGTAACATCTAGGATTATGTCTTCTTGAGTTTGGGAATATTGCTGCATAATTTTTTCCCCCTTAAGTTGTACTGTTGTGGAGACAGTGGCTCACAACCATGTTTTTAATTGTAAAAAATAATGCTTTTTCCCAAGTGAGAAGAAATATTCTTTATCATGGTTTGTAGTGAAAATAATGATTTTAAAATTATAATCAAAGGTAAACACTGCCTAATGGGCTTTTTTTCTATAATACACCAGCCTTGAAAATAGTAAAGAGCCAAGGACTTCCTCTCTCCCTACCGTGGTAGCAAGAATGCAGGCATGTGTCCAGGAACCAAGCCTGGCAGCATGCACATTTAGTTTTTCAACATTAAGCTAATAATGTCAAAGGATTTCATTCAAATATTTTCCAGCTCTGCTATAAGTTGTCTCAAGGTTGTTTTTTTATTGTCTCATTCTGCAACTTTTTTATTAAAAGAATTTTCTAAACCTAAATTAGGCTTGGCTTGACTTTAGACCTTTCCAAAAACTCAAAGTTTTTTTAAAACTTAGCTTTTACCATTTATATCCAGAAGCGGATTTAACAACTTTGATGCCCGTAGGAATGTGAAAATTGCCTTCTATTTCTTTGACACAACCCAGGAAAAGCGTTTTGTATAATAACAAGTATAATGTATGCTCAAAAATTGGACACCCTTATTTACAACTAAAATTAAATTAGATTTAATTAATGATATACACATGTTCAATTTTTTCTACAGGAATTCAATTAATTTTTAAATAATATATTTCGATGAATAGAAATAACATAAATACATCATTTTTTTTTGTTTTGTTTTTTGTTTTTGTACTTTTGCATATTGATTGTACTGCCATTGTTCTACCTTCAATTCTTAAAATCACTTAAATGTCTACATTTAACACAAGAAAATATGAAGAAATAAGACATATTCAAAGAGATTATCAAAATTACATATATTTAAATACATATAATTTTTTAAATCTCTAGAATGAATAATTTGAATCGATGTAACACAAAGAAAACCCCTTTTCAATAATTGTAATTCAATCTTAATTGAATGACCTGAATATGAAGCATCACTCATTTTGACTTATCACAAACTAAATAGTAGAGGCTATTATTAGCCTGTTAATAAATTTAATTTTCGAGTATTTAATAGTTTTGTTAAAATAAACTCGCAACTATAAATAAAAAGAAAAATCGTACATGACACAGAGGAAACTCTTTAGACACAACTGTGATTCACAATTTTTGCGGCCTCTAAAATTTTGTGCTGTAGGCACTTGCCTCCCGTGCCTATGCATAAATCCGTCCTGTTTATATGCATTCTGTCTGCTGCTTGAACAAGAAATCTAAAAAAATATTTGGAGTCATATTTGAGAAAATATTTAAAATTTAGAATGGATGACATATAAATTACACTCAAAAATTGAAGAGCACGTTCAACTTCACTGGACCCTTAAGTTCAATCAGATCCAAACAAAGAAAATTCAATTTTAGAAAACATCTTGTGTATGGGTATGGTTTCAGTGCAACGTTTTCTTCGCAGACTCATTGCATGTGGATAAATGGGCAAAAAGAAGCCAACTTTGAAGCACGTCATAGGCACACAAGGTATAACAGAGGCCTATTACAGGTGCAAGACACTTATCCCACTATTTTTCACTTTTTTAACTGTAATTTAGAAGTCCTTAAGTGTTCTGTTAAGTCAGATGCCCATATGGCAGGCTGAAAAATATTCAAGCTGCTCAAGATGAGCATAATTTATTTATACATGATACAACAATAACAAAACTTGTAATGCTTTTCGACTTACAATAAGAAGTTTCAAGCAATGTCAATATCATAGGAATTACACAATTAGTTTTATGTGACTATTCCACTGATGAAATTAAAACCTATGGTATTTAACTATACATACAAAATGCCTCAATCAGGGCGGTGTATCCCAAAAATTTCATTGCTTTTATTTATCTGATTTTTCTAGCCGCTTCTTCATCCTGGCCAATCATACACTGTGACTCATCTGTCTTAGTGGGACACTACATCGATCGCTGTGTCACATGTGATCTTAACATAGCATTCAGTTATTTTCAATATTTGGTACATTTTGGGACTATTGGATATAATTTCACTCGTGGAATAGTACTAGGAAATACCACTCATGTTTTGGAAATTCTCAGATAAAACAACTCCTCCCTTCTTGAGTCAGGAATTTATCGACAATTTCCAAAGCACTTGGTGTATTACCTATAATAAAGAAATATAAATAATAACATTAACAGTAACTTACACTATGAATCACATACATGTACAATGTATACCAGTAACAAACAAATTAAGTATTGCAGGGACAAATCTACAAAATACAATAAAAACTAAATAACCATTTAGTAATTGACGAAGTGTTACAATATCAATTTGATTGTATTTATGTAAAATACCATTGTACATTAAAATTTACAAACTATATGTGCAAATATATTAATAAGTTAATTTTTAAATAGGTTTCTAAAAGGGTTTTTGTTTGCAGTCACATGATGAGCCTTTCTATTGAGTCTATTTCTTGATAATTTAGAAGAATTGATTGATTGATTGAGGTTCAGAGGGCACTTCACCTGCCATGGTCATTAGCTCCCCTTTTGAAATTCAATTTAAAATTTATATAAGAAACGCAGATGCAACTACCATACTTACTAAAAGTACATCATTTAAAATGAAGGCTTGAAGAATTTTGAAGTTTTTAACAATCGTAGGCACATCTGCCCATTGCAATATTTCAATTCAAAAAACATTTTTGTAACAGAATAATAAATTCTCAATATATCCAAGGATACTTTTGATAATCATCTCTTATCAAAAAGTGGCAGCTGAAATTGTTTTCATGAATGGAAATCCCTCAAAATTCTCAGACTTACATAAATTTACAAAATTATCTAAAGAAAACTGTTTGCATATTCTTACACAATGTTTAGATACAGCATCAAAATTATTCAAACACATTTTTTTTAGGTTTTGTTGTTTAAATTTTCATATTATCAGGACATAGTTTATATCACAGAAAATTGAATCCTTCTAACCTTAGTACTAACATGAAATGTATTTAATAAATTGCATGCATTGGTGTATTGGACAATTAAATCCAACACTTTAATTGCTATAATTATGCATAAGTAAATTATATTAAATACCATGGAATCCTCTGTTGATCCAGTGTTGAGCCCACTCTTTCTTCTTTTCCTCACCAACGTAAATCAACACAATCAGATTTTGCAGAGGCTGGATGCCTGAAGCAATGACTTCACAAATTTCTCTCACCTGTTGCAAAAAATCAATTTTACTCTATTAAATTTCTGTATAATAGATATGAAAAGTGTGAAAGACCCGTGATTCAGAATTTATTACCAATATTACTCCTTAAAAGTGTGTTAATCATATCACTAATTAATGTTATTTTTACTTTAATTTTTCAGATAAACAGCATAATATACATTATGAACAAAATGAATCAGACCATGATTTCAACATATTATGACTATACATTATGAATTTAATCACTATTATAAAACATTTTTTACATGAATTTGAAAATTTGTTGAAGGAAACTTAATTATAACTAGCACTTTTGCACTATAACATTCCTTAGTAAACCTTTGTTTTAGAAGTGAATAGAGTAAAGACTGGATCCTAGCTTCAGTCATCCCTGAATGCCCAAATTTGCGTTTCAACATTCCACAGGATGAATCAGTTCTCGTTGTTAACACACAAGAGCCAATTCTAAACGTAATCTTCGGGCTGAATTTGCCAAAATTAAATAATCTTCATCGTTTAGCTTTGTAGATAATTAAAGTTAAAACTTTGAACTATACCCTTGTTTGTGTAACACAGGCTTTGGCAAGTGAGCGAGAGGCTTCACCTCGCTACTTCTCTGTAAAACTCGGTTATTAATACTATCCACTACGCTATGGAAGCCAGCGCTGAGCAACGAGCGCGCGAAGTCAACACATCTCAGTCTGTCACCTGGCGAACAAGGCATGTGACGAGATTACGACCTTCCCATTTCCAGCCGTTGCAGCGTTTTCGCAGTACAGCTCTCCAACGTCGTTCTCATGTTGCATGTAGTGTAGCTCACCCACAGTGATTCTCACTAATTGTGTGGGTAGGCATTGTAGATGAATTTATCATCGGTCCTAACTTATTTCCCGAGTGTTTGAGGAGTTCCGTATCTGAATGGTATAAGGTATTCCCTGCGCTTGTAAAGAACGTCCCGCTGAATGTGCGGGCACAGATGTGGTACCAGCAGACCAACATAATTTAACGGCGTTCGGGAATACTTAGATATGTGATTTCCCCATAGGTGGATCGGACGAAGAGGCCCAATAGCACGACCGCCTCGGTCTTCGGATTGGAAACAGCTGGGCTGCTTTTCTCGGGGTAAATGAAAGACTGCGTTTATGCCTGCACGACGCCTGCTCCCGCGGGCATTCTGCACTTACGAGCCGACCGTCTGCCCGCGAGAGAGCCCAAAATGCAAGTAGAAGGGTGAGAGCCGAAATCGCAAGAAGGGTAATGTCTAGCATTACGTATTTTTGTGACCATTTCCCACATTATCAATCTGAAAATATCAAAGAGCAAATCTCTCTGACGATATATTACGGGCAATCACGACGCTAGCATGGGACTTGTTACATAGAATGCAAAGGGCTTAATATTTTTATACCATGTCCTAAAAATGAATAATGCTCGTTGATTTGATTGTTCGCTCTTGCAATTTACGCGCTATGGTTCGAATTGCGCGTTCTGATTTGTGGTCCCCACGCCTACAATTTGCCTCATCCCTACCCTTCAAATGTATCTTCATTTGTACTCGAGTGGCTCACGCGTAGGCAATGTGCAGGTCTGATGCTACCGGCGCCGTGGACAGAGATGGCCTTCTTCGGCGCATTAAAAGCGTGGCGGCAGAAATAAAGAGACAACCCGGCAGACTTCTGCGCTGCACGGAAGTCGTGTGGCACAGATGCTTATCTTACGTTCACGCAAGAGGTTATTTTGAACACTTGTAAAGCGCCTGTTACACCGGGTGGAAATGCGAACTTTTGGCTGCACACGCAAATAATAATTAAAAAAAGGTCTCCTAAATATCACTTAACAGTTTCTTCTCTCCTTTCATATTCATTTGATAAGTAGGTAATAATAGCAACAGGGAACCATATTTATTGTAATATTTGGGCTACCTTTATGCAAAACATGACCAATTATATAAAAAAAACAACACTTTTCCTTCAAATTTTGGAATAGGGTTCACACTATTTTCTATTGCACACATGAATAACTTAGTGTATTCTATCACAGGGTCCTGTATGATCATCGAGAACTGAATCATCCTGTATGGCAGTATTGTGTATGAGTAAACATTCTAACGTGTTGAGATTAAATTTCCCAGAAAATCAAATGGACACTAATTATGTCTAATATAATTTCTCTCAATTCCTTTAATTTAATTGCTAAATCTCCACAAAAAAAGTCTTAAGATTCAAAAAGGTCTCATTCTGTAGAATACTGCTTAAAAATTGTAACTTGACCCCCCACTTCTCCTCCACCCATCCCTCCCAAAACTGACACCCCACAAAAATTACCTGTCTCTCAAAACTTGTGTCTCTTAGAGAAACAAGAACATGGTTTTCACAGCCTACAACACATTGTTTCTGAGTAATCACGATTTTAATGTGTGTGTTCTGCATGAAATAATCTGCAAACTTTCATTTTTTTAAATCTTCCATTTGTTTAGTGCAGGACTGGGGAATAATTAACTAACCAACAGTAACAACACTTACATGGTTTTGTGCTTTGAATAAAATTATTATAAATTGTCAAAAACGGTCATCAATCCTCAGCATATTATATAAATAGAGAAGATAATTTCACAGTAACTTACAGAAATGGGGTCTTACAATGCATATTGGTATAATTTATAATGAATAAGTTGAGTACATAACACCAGAAAATGAATTAAATATCTTCAGAAAAGTCGATAAAAAAGAAGTTGTGCAAGATAATAACAAGAAGGAAAGTTATGTTACTATGGTTTTCCAAGGCAAAAGTTTTAGGAAGAGTTAATACAATGAAAAACTGTAGGGGGAAACGGAAGTGGGACATTTGAAAAGAAATGTGATGATGACATTCACTGACAGGCAGGAAGAGCTACAAAAATTGCAAAGTGGCTAGAAAAAAATAAAATGGGATGAAATGACATGATCCCTTGCCTCTCTTTACTTTCAATGTCTAAATGCCTGATTAACACTACAACAGCATTACTGTTATACATTAATTTATACCCTTAAAGAACCTATTACACAAATCAATCTGAGAATGTTATGTCTATTTGTTGATATTGATTTACTTACTTACTTTTAATATTAAGCAAATATGCATTTAATGTTAAATATTGTATTAACATTACTGTGAAATTATCAAATGAGGTCATCATAACAAACTTTGGATTTGTGGTTGGAGTGCCATACGGCCATTACATGACTGACATGTCATTTCAAGAGCAAGTCATTAAGTAATGGCATTTAAGTGTGGCTCTTTGTGGAGTTAATTTGAAAATTTATTATATTTTCTCAATTAAAAATTGAAGAAAATTATTTAGTGTTGCCCTTGTGATTTTAGTATATTTGTACGTATGTTACAAAGTACTGAACAGTTATGTAGACTTTGTACCCTTACAATTTAATTTAAATCTGTGCTCGTATTTCTTAAATACTACGTAATAATGTATGATGTGACTATATATATGAAATCCCAGAATAAAGCTCTCATTGACTTCGTGAGTGCTCATTCTTGGAATAAACAAATGATACAATCATAGGCAAGCTTGAAAGCAATTTTAATTGATGCCACACAGCTATTTTCAACGATTGCTTACATCTTTCTTTTATTGATACTTGCATTAGACTATGATTGCACTCAAAATTGGTTTCTAGTCAATTCATGTTAAAAAGGAATGAATATAAATGTTCATTACTTTGATAAGAAAACCAGCTTTTTTCTTTCAAAACTAAAGGATGCTTTTATTATATTTAAAAATAGTGTGTCTGTAGTTTCCCTATAACTCAAAAAATAATTTTTAAACCATTAATGGATTATTGAAATCAAAGACAGAGACATAATACCAAGCATGTGCCCACTCCTTCCTCAAATTCCAATTTTTTAATGTTTTCGAGTTGTGTCATCAAAAATGATGAGCTCCTGATAATTTATTTGAATTGTAACTATTTTAAATACAAAATAATGAAGCCGGCATATTTTTTTTTAACGTACATGTGACTCACAAGGCGCATTTTCACAAAACTTATTTCAGGAGGGATCCTCTTTTCCACATGCATTACATGAAAAAGTGAAGAAACATACCAAAAATGAGTTTGAAAAAACAAATCTACTGTATTCGTCTCAATATAAGTTAAATTTTATTTTAAAATGGTATCCTGGGAATATTTTCAATTGTTAACTAATTCTTACTTCTTAGTCAAAATGAAATTGCAAATTCATTGTTATTGACTAGAAAATTGCCTTGTTGACAAGAATATTAAAACTTATCACCATAGGTATCACTATTTTCATGTTCCTTAAAAATAATCATAATCATGTTTTTTGCGACTATCCTCTTCTTCAAAAGAATCATTATTTATTTATTTCTGGCCTCGTTCTGTACGGCAGCATCTTTTAAGTTTAAAGCAACTTCAGAGTTCTAAAGTCTTTAATTTGACCCCACCTACGTAATTTCCTTCTGTACCGACAGATTTTTCCAGAGTTGTTGTTGGCGGCCTTTGATTATTTAACTGTTCTTTTACAACATATGCCTGGAATTCACTTTGTTTAATGTTCATGTGATCGAATTGTAAACTGCGAAACCATATATCTCTGTTTCTCCGGTAACATGGGAGATAGCGGCCAGTTGACAACTTTGGGAAGTTTTTAATTAAAAAAAAAAACGTCCTATTCTGTGATTGTGTAGAATGTGAACATCTTTCAACTTGATATTTCCATTTTCATCTCTTGCAAAACGCAGATGATCATTCACTGGGCATCAAGCTGAGACCGTACGGCCATGTCGATCAGGGCATTGTATAACAAAATCACAACAGTGATTTTGACTCATTTTCAGATTGTGTTTCACTTTATACAATATTTTTATCGTCTTCGTGGCATATTGTTATGTCACAATTTACGAGTTTCGTAATTAGGGCTAATCTGCAAATATAAAACCACCCCATAATTTTCGGATGAGATATTTAGGGGGAGGGGGGACCTCGTCATATTTTAAGGTAAAAACAGTAATTTTCAATTATGAAAACTCGGGACAAGGGAATATCACATTCTTCTTGTTGGTTTGCGATCAGCCATACTTCATAGACGTGTTAGTTGCAATGGTTGCAATATCATGAACACATTTTAATTTTAAACTGTGAAGAAAAAAAATTGTGGGGCTTCAAATATATAATAATGTCTTGAGAAATAACATTGATCACATTTCAGAACTTGTACAAAATACATTTTTAAATAATAACTGTCCTTCTACATTTTGGAATAAATGCCTATAATAAAACAAAATAATCAAACAAATTGTTAGGTACCGTACCATTGACTCCACAACACACAGACCACTACTAGGGATTACGAATAGTTTTATACAACCCATTTTAATGTGTTTCAAGATGAAACATTTGTTTTTCTTCTCTTTCTTCATTAGGGTTATCTAAGGACCACGCGATAATTTCAACACTTCCTTTTACGTTGCTTCTTTTTCTCTCTCCAATACTCCATCTTACTGTTTCACTTTCATCTCTTCAGGTCATTCTGCACCAGTTTTCCTCTCCTTACTTGGTACACCTTCCATTTGTTTTTGTTGTCTTTAAAATTATATTTTCACATAAATTTCTTTCATTCTGAAATCTTTTAAATTTAATAAGTTTGAATAATATACATTTTCCACTTCGTCACACTATTCCTGTTTTCAAAAAATACATACTTTTGCACATTTCTGACAGATGAAAATTTGCTCCATGAAATTTTGATCATATTTAAAAAAAATGACAATTGTGCTTTGACTATTATGACACTCCCACATGAAGTTAGTATACAATTACATATAGAATCGTTAAAATTTATAATAAATTAGCTAAATTACTCAAATTTATTTTGTAACTGCAAAAACTAAAATAGGGACATTGATCTGTTGAAAATCAGTAATTTAAAATGTATATAAACTGATATAAATAATAATATGAATTTTTGTAATAGTTTTGAATTTTGTAATAGTATTAATGATTTTTTGTAGGTAGGAGAAAGGCGTTTGAGCACTCACCCTTATCAGGCTAAAGAACTGTTCAACACGAAGCTTATCAAGTTCACATGCTTTGTGAAATACAAATAAATATGTTATTGAAAATACAGGAATTTTCAACACAGCAAAAATCAATATGTTAATTAATCAATTAATTTGAACAAGATCTACAGCAACATTACATGCAATTATCACAAATCAAAAGGAGCACTAAAATACCAGAAGTATTAGAATTACAAAGTTATAAAAAGATTTATACAAAGAAGGTACTTGCGAGACAAGGTGTCCCGAAAGCAATGGAGAAAGAACAAATAATGTGTTATTTAGAACTTACTTAGGAACAGAAATATATTTTAGTTTTATATAGGGGTTGAAATATAACCACAGAGTACACCAGGAATACAATTTTAACAAAGTAATGAATATTACAAGATAACATCTACAACAAATACAAAAAGATAAAAGAAACCAGGTGATATGAAGCAAAACAATTTTATTCCATAAAAACTTGAAATGCTTCAGTGACAGTCATGATCAACTAATGACAGATTGCCAAAACAGCATCAAACTTAATACTCTTGGGAGAAAAAAAAGAGATGCACTTGCTTTTGAGAACAGAATTTATATTGTGGTGAGATCAGTCATCAAATTTCAAAGGAGAGCAAAATAAAATATATTATTTTTGTTATTGTTTTTTTTGTGTAGAATTAGAACTGTGACATTTTTGTGCATTTTTATAAACATTTTTGTTTACGACAATTGCACCCTGTCATTAATTTATTATTGTATCCTATTGGCTCTTTTTTCTTACCTATTTCCTGCGCTGGTTTATATATATACACACACAGATATCTCAAACTATTGCATTTAGCAGGCAGTAATAAAGCCTGAATTCTTTTTCTTATGTTGGTAGTATTGTTGTAAATAGATGGTATATAGAAGTGCAATTGTGTAGAGGTGGGTTTTGGCATTGTGATTCTCTCAGGAGTATTTCTTGTTGTTGTTTAGAAACCTATTGTTTCCATTATGCCAGCATCTAACAGACTTGTAGGAACAGGTCCTATAGAAACAACTGCAAAGCTGTAATTGAAGATGGAAATGATGCTTCTGAAGGAAACATTCAGTATAGTGGCCATGTTAGTCCACCTAGTGCTTTAAAAACAAAATAAATACTTCAGATAACCAAAACTACAAGAAAAAAAAGAAAAATGCCCATCACACATAGGTTATGTTGAAAACATTTCTTATTCTACAAGAATGTATTGATTTTCCTAATAAATAAAAGTTTGATTTGTAGTGTGCCTTTCTGTGTTGCTGATGGTTATGTAATATAATCCTACATGAACCTGAAAAAGTTGTTTTAACCAGCAAAAATTGTTTCCCTGTACTGAGATTCATAATTCTTGGTCTTAAGAGTTAACACACCAGACATATTACTGCTCAACCACCAGTCACATGACCAAACTCAATATTTTTGATACTCAAATGAAATTAGTAACTTGCATTTGCAATTTTCAAAAATTCTGATATTTTCATTTACATTATTAGGAGATCGGGTCTCAACGAACTGATTTCATGAAGGAAATTAATGTTGATCAGCAATATTGTAGTACTGTAATTTAAATTTTTTGTTTTCATTTTTTGAAAAGATAGAGAGTTTGCAGAATACAAGACCTACATTTTTTTTAAAAAATATCCAATGCTCTATCCCAGGAAAAACAAATTAGGGTAGTTTTTGAGAAAATAACTGATTAAATATTGCATATATTACACGCAAAATTACGCGATAAGAACACATATCTTCACAAAATTGCTTACAACTTCATTTCAAGATCTATCTTTGAAGAACAGACTCCATTATGAAAGATAAAAAGGAGAGACAAAAATAAAACTTCATAATCGTCATTATAAGAAGCCGCGGAAAGAATTAACTTTGCAATTTTCAAAAATTCAGATATTTCAACGAAAATTGGGACTTGCGTCATTTGCTCCATCTGAGAAAATTTTGAAAAACGTGTTCGAGGCTTCATATAAAGAACCCAAAAATCAAAATATCAGTTTCGAACTCGCGGGACATGGAGATCATCCAAATCGATGGGGGAATATCAATTTTGGAGAAAATCGTCTGAACGGTTTAAACGCTGTCGTTGACGGCAGACAAGACTTTTGCTCGTCAATCGTTTTTCGGTATCGAGGATCATTAAAACAAGGGTTCTGACATCACTTTTCAGAAGAAGGAATTTACTGCATACAATTATCCACCTTTTCGACACTAGGGCCCCCAGAAGAGGAGTTATTCCAGCGAAAAATCGCAGGCTTCTGCCGCAGCATTACAATACGTTCCTTTTAATACTGAAGTATGTAGTAAGGCGGGAAATACGTCGGGCAGAAAAAATATAAAATCTTTTCCACTTTTCAAAAATACACTATCCTAGATACGCAAACACTTTAAACCCTACGTAACAATAAAAAATCATGAAATTATATCCAGTGTTTTCTGAGAAAAAAGTACATAAATGTACGAAATTGAACTTGGCCTGTAGAGTATATTTAATATCACCATAAAGAAGCTGAAAAGAAATTTATTGGGAGAAGCATACATTTACAAAACAGAAACTCAAAACCATGCTATGATGGATTTGAAAACTCTTGCAGACAAAAATAATGAAGAACAAAAATATCAATAATCATTCATCTTTCCTTGCCTACAGAAAATAAAATAACTTTAATATCAGTGGGGCTATATCACCATAATTAAGAACTAACCATAAAACTAATAAGCTCTATAATCTTTATTCCAAGCAATTGTATCTAAACAATGGTCTAATTCAAATAAAAAAATAAACATAAAGGACGCGAATGAAATAATCTTGCTTGTAACACCACCCCCGAGAGTATACAATGGATTTTCGTATTAAAATATCTATGACCTAATAAATATTAATAAAATGACCAAATATATTATAATACCACTGGAAATTTTTTTTTCAAAGACAAGATGATGATTGCTTGTAAAATATACAATAATATTAATGATTGAAAATGAGAATATCACAATATAAATTGATTCAACTTTTATGCATGTTTGGCCCATGATTCTGTTGTAAAGAAAATAAGCAAGATACAATGCCTGAATAAAACAGAAATCAAAATAAAACCATAAATTAATCAAAAAATGGTTCACGCTCATCTAGAGACTTGTGGAGAATTCCTACTCTCAACAATATATGGCTTATCTTTGAAGTAGTTGAATTGTGAACACAAATATATAATTCTAAGAGAAATAGTTTTTCACATTCTAATGTACTATCAGAGACATTTTATTCAAAATGTATGTAACTGAAAAGCTAAGAGCACTCCCAAATAGCACAAAAATCAATACTAAGTTCCCCCAAACAAACAAATCTATTACCTTGGCTCTCTTGATTACATCTTGAGGCATAAGAGGCCGCTGAGGTCTGGTCTCCTCAAGATAATGCATTATGTTAAGCTGAAAATTTAAATAAATATTTTCAATGCCAGTAGAAATGTGCAGTAATACTGAATACATTTTCAAGGATTTTACTCACAGATTCTACCAGAGTATGGCCATCTATGTACAAAGCTGGCACTTGTTCCATGGGATTAATTTCCCTGAATTCATTGCAGTGTTGTTCCCCACCAGCTTTAATCAAGCTTATAGGCTTGATATCATATGGAATTTCTTTCAAGTTCAGAGCTAAAAGCAATCCTTATATAAAAATATGAACTAACAATCAAAAGAGAATAGTACACAACAACAAAGCCAAACATAAATAATCAATACAGGGCTCACATGAGCAATACAATTGAATGTGTGAGTGTACTATTTAGAGGGGGTGAAAGAAAAACAAAACTAATAAACTAACATAATGGGAGATATAATATATTATAAACAAAAGAGCATTAAGTCCAAAAGTGCAATTTTATGGAATAATGCATCTAAGACAGAACAGAAACAAAAACGTATAAAAGTGTTGAATAATATGAAAAATTAATGGATTTTTATTGCATTGCAATAACTAAATTGATGCTGTAGCCACTTCTCAAATAACAGGCTTACAACAATTAGAGAATCCAATATGTCAATACTTTGAATTAAAAGTGCTAAATAAACATCAGAAAAACACAGAAACTGTAATAATGAATACAATTTGTAGAGGAAGCAATTTTCTTTCTGAATCTCTTCAGAAGAAAACGGACGATTTATTCCTAAAGCCATCGAATCTTTTACACATCACATACACATCATACCCTTCAATATCTTAAGTTTCTTGGTGATAATAATAAGTTTTGACAAAATACTTACCTATCCTCACTCTCCACGAGCAAGAGCTTCTCCAGTAAGAATACAAAACAGGCTGAAAAACGAAAGCATATTGAAGAATGACAGAAACCCACGGAAGTTGACTACAGCTCAATACGTAGTTTTCACACAAAGAGATATATCGATATGGATTTGTCACCTAATTCGTTTTTCACAATATTAGAAACATTTATAACGGAAAAGACGGATAAACTGCGTTTCCTAAAAATGTTCCAAACATGTATGTGCCAAACTCGTTTTTAAAAACACCAAACTGTCTAACCTCGGGGATTTCCCAATCTAAGGAGTACATAAACATTTGTAAAAAATACCTTTCCAATCACAGACATGGTTGCGCCTGTCCCCAGGGCCTAGAAGGCCTTAAAAAACCATTTACCGGTATCCCACAAACACAACACCGATCGCTGGCGTCCTCACGCCGCTCGTTCACGCCTGCCTCGCGCCGCTGTCGTCAGGGTCGTCAGCGGCGTATATGCCCAGGGTCGCCAAAGTTGCAAACGCACACTGCGTTATAGCTAATACTTTTATGACTGTCTGCCTCACATAAACATAATTTTACACTTGCAAAACATTAAAGATTAGTGAAACTACTGAGGATGTAACATAAATAAAATGAAACATGTTTTCATCCCTAGTATACTCTCATCAGAAATCGTACCGTATTGGTAGTGGGAAAACTTCTTTCGCTCAGGGACACCACCTTCCTTGCTCGCATTGACTTACGATGACAACTATAAGTGACTTCTACTGCTTATTAAAAAAACCTGTTACTTCGAATTACTAGTTGTTTATAAATATTCTTATTATAAGTACGCATAACATATATTATATTACTTCCATTTAATCCAAAGCAAAATTTGTCCAATACATCAGTGAGTCCGCCAGGCAAGTCGATATATCAACCGGAAATTTCTGAAACATTATTCAGATTTGCCGCAATTTGGTTCTTTGTTCTACAAGTGTTGAGTAACTAAGATCTAATTTTTAATGATTCATATGAACTATAAATCTACGTTTTCAGCAAGATTTAAGTGAAAGTAAAATGTTTTAGGAATGGAAACATGGCTTAGGGGCATAGGCATTTTCCATCGTTTCTTCGAATTAGGTAATAAAAAATGAGGAGGGGTCATGTATATTCAAATTCAAAAAAAAAAAAGAATCAAATATAAGAGCTAAGACTATTCAAGGCTAAAAAAGAAAAAAAAACTTTAATTATTCCCAATAATAATTATATCTAAAACAATTTTTGGCATAATTTTAGAGTTCCTTTCTTGTTCCTTGATAAACAACTACTGTTTTCCAGTGCTGGCTCGTAGGTGTATACATAAGGTACAAAAAAAAGTATCGCAATTTTCTTGCATAAAAAAATTCTTGAAAATCAGATACCAGAGATTGATATGCTCGATTGAACCAGCACCAGTCAACTTGTGCTCAAAGGAGGCCGATCCGGGAAAAAGTTCCGGAAGATTTTTTACACTGATCCATACGTTTTTGTGGGGGGTGATGAATTCGAATTTTATGTTTGTCAGCTCCATTAAGGTCAGCTTCACAAAGAAAATTTAATAAAACAAAAAGAAACTATACATTTTGCACTTTTTTCAGTGTTCGCTTAATTCTACCACCTTACACATTTTATCTTCAAGCACTATTCACAAGATAAAAGTCCATTATTTACAAAATTTCCTACAAAATTCATATATTAACTTCAATGTGAAATTTCTTTAGGCGTTAAAGCGCGCTCGGTAAGTTTTTGGCCCTCAGGTCAAAACTATCCCGTTGAGGCGGCGCTCTAGTCACTGTATCATGCTTGAAAACAACTACAGTGAACGAAATATTGGCATTAACAATGCCAATAATTTTTACGAACGGACGTGCTTAACTTTCTGTTACTTGCGGAGTCAGTAGGGATGTGTTTACAGTATCAGATCAGTAGGGATGCGAAATACAGTAGAACCCCGCTAATACGAGCCCTGCAAAACCGAACTTTCGGATAATCCGAGCAAAATTAAGGACAGAGGGAAAATAACTAAAATAAATAAAATGTATATTGTAGTATAAAGAAAGGTTTATATACTAACTGTATAACTAAAAAACAACAAATTATTGAAACACAAGTCGAAATGAAACGTTTGTTGCACTGGTAACTACAGTGCATATAGCATGTTTATGTAGCAGTAATTTTCACTTAAAGGAACTTGCAAAATCGGTAATCTTCGTTTGCCGTAAGGAATTAAATCTGCTTGAGGACGTGACGTGATGACGTGATCGCTACGTTACGTTACCATTTTTCACATTGCACGCTACGTTGCATTGTGTCTGGTAATCCCGTAGATGTATTTGTATTTATACAGTACATTTGTTCGGATAATACGAACATTTCCGAATTTCAACAGACCATACCCCCAATTAGTTCAGGATATCGGAGTTCTACCGTATGTGTAAAACCCAGCCTTAAATAATCAAAATATTAAGGATATAAGAATAGTGGAAAGAAAATACATTCTGTACAACACAATATATTTACTTTTTAGCGTCAAAATAGTTCGATCATAAAATATTTGCATTAATAATACGTTGTCGTCGGTATTTGTCAAATTATGACGTAATTGTCAGAAGAAAGCTAAAAAGGAAATTTAGGTTAGAAACTAAAATATTGAACCAGGTAGTTTCATAAATACTATTTAGAAATGTAAACTTTAGGTTAGATAGGAATACAGCATCACTACACAGCGTGTCTCTAAACGTTCGTAAACTCTGTAGGTTCGTAAAAATATGTCGATCTCTATGGAAAACAATTAAAAAACTTGTATAGAATATATGATTTAAACTCAAAAGTTTTCATATTAAAAGCTTGAAAGTTAAAAGTTCAAATGCATTTATAGTCTGGAATTAAAAATATAGTGGTATTTCACTTTCACACTATATTAGTGTTTCACACTATATCACCATTTTATATGAGTAGTTACAGTTTGGTTCAAATAAATAGTTGTTGTTTTTCTTTAATATCAAAGAGCAGGTAAATGTGCGTGAAAATTTGGGGAGTGTAATAAACTGAAATTCACCATTTGACGCGATTTTCAACTTCTCTTATCCTTATATAATGACCTTACCCAACGTTCACACTGCAAATTGAAAATGAAAGGTTGTCTCCACATTAGATAGGGAAATATTCTGTTCTGAAATGCATTTTAGTTATATTCGTTGAGAAGAAAATAAAAAAAAAACTGTAAAAATTCAGAATATCCACAATGGGACTGTGTGAGACATTATTTGATGCATTCTTTCACCTACTACGAGCTTTCACGAATTTACAGGGATATTCTGATTAATAATGAGGCAGTGGAGAATCGCTGAACATCTACGATTTCATTCACTCAGCGACATATGATCTGGATTTGATAGAATGTGATACACGCCACAGAGAAAACAACGGATAAGCACATTCTTTCAAACCATACGATAGTATATGTAGACTTCGGCTACGTTGTTAGATGCGCATGTCTGCGCCTACCGGAAGATGTAACGCTGCAAGGGAGAAAGACACCTGATCCGAGCGCGAATGATATTTACTGAGATGCAATACATACGGGATTGTCTACAAGCAAGCAACCGAAAATGCAGATACGCTAACAGTGCGAAGGGCTGTATCGCTGACATCAGCTCATAACAGTATTGTAATGGTGGGGAAGACATAGACCTTCAAGTCTTAATGATGGGACTTTAAATTTCTCCTAATGTCCGTTTCCGAAAATCAGGAAAAGGGAAAGTACCTCAATCCCTCAATCCGTACCATCCTGCAGTAGTCTTGCTAGGCTGTTCTTTCACGCGATGAGTGGTTACAACTCCACCTCGTCATCTTTTAACCAAGGCAGGTGAAATTCTACCTGCGCCGAACTTCTTAACCAAGCTCCTTGAAGTCCGGAAGTCGATTATCTCCAGTCTCCGCAGTTTCTCAGATGGGGTGACCATTTTGGAACCCCGGATACTAAACCGGGAGAGGTGGCTCAGGGCATCAACTGATGTCACTGCAATCCCTCTGACCGGGAGGTCCTACGTTCGAAGCCCGACTGTGGCAGGATTTTCAGCACTATCCAGTCATCCAGGTCGAATTTAGTTGCTGCCTGGTGGAGAATTCTAGCGGCCGGTGCTCTGATCGGTACTTTTCCGTGGTTTCTCCGATCAACAGGCGAATGCCGGAGTACCGTAACACACGGGCCACGGGCCGCGCGCGATATTTCCTTCACCATCCTTGTCCTATCCTCATCCCTTACTTACACACACTTTCTCTAACATGCACTACACTTCCACACATGCCGAGAGACCGGTTGGGAACTTAGAGTTTGTCCCAGCCGGGGCAGAGCCCCGCCGGAGATACCTGGTTTGGGAATACCCCGCTAGCTGAGGGTAGGTCGGCGCCAGATATCGCCATCCAGCAGGGGAAGACCATCGCCATCCCTCGAGGAAAAAAACATGCACTACACTTAAGGGGCTAATGATCTTAACTGTTGTCGCGCCTGGAACCACTAACAATTAATCAATCAAAACCCGAACACTAACAGCGCTGAGCCCCTGGCCTATAGAGATTAAATGCAATGACTGACTCGACTTCACATAAGACTGACTTAGTCTCAGTTCTTTTAAAATAAAAAAAAAATCTTTAAAACCCTCACTACCTAACACTCCTTCTGAAACAACCGATCCTTCAGCACATCTGAAGGAAATTACTAATATTGAGGGAAAATTCTAGTTGCCCTATACAGTGATTACTACCAATATACGAGACAAACTGAGATACCAGCGCATCTTGACGTTAGCCTGCAATGTTACGGAAAATAGTGCCTCAATCACCACTCCCCACTGAAGCTGTAGCCATCAACACAGTCTAAGGGTTTTCCATCAAGTGCAGCAGTGGATTAACTGTTGGGGAGGAAGCAGGGACGGCTTGATTCCAATAACCACTCTGCAGGACGCAGCTCTGGAAAAAATGCTACAACGTATCTGCTGGAAATGCAAGGACTGCCAGCAAACTTGTGGATGTACACGATTCGGTATTTTGTGCGCAAATGTCTTCACTGGTAAGGAAGGTGTTCAAATGTGAGATTACATATTCGACCTCCAAGACGAAAAAGACCAAGACAACTCAGTTGCTGAACCACTGTCTTAAATAGCGGAGATACAAGAAGGTACTAACTCATAAAATACATTTACAGCATTACCAACATTCACTATTCACAGTTTCACTATAAATATTATTTGCCAGTCGAGGAACCACCATCCAAATTCCTCCAAGTGGACCACCCCAACCCGGGACGACTCTTACCAGCCTGGACACACTAGATCCAGGACGAAACGAAATATGAATAATTTAATCAGTGACAGCAAGTAATACTTCACACATGAAAACTTCAAATAAAAAAAAACATACATGAATAAGTGGTATCCATTTATATGGTATATCTTCTTTCGTTTCATATTTTGGCACATATTTACGAAACGTATTTTTAGTACAAATATTCGGAGAACAAAATTTTGGTTATGT